GTTGTAGACTGGATGTTGACCATTCTTGCAATGAAAAGAAAAATGCTTGTTTTGAAAGTTTATTTTGTCGCAAATTCCGCATGTCCTTAAGTGCCGTCATCCTTTAATTTAAATCTTGCAGGTAAAGTGGCGGTACATCATTTGTTATACATAGATATTTTGCAAAATAGGTTTTAACTTAATAGTAAAGTAAAAGATAAATACAGTAATTCATTTACAGTAAACTTCTTTTATAACCTACTCAGTTATTTGAACATAATTTATTATGTAGAACATAAATGGATTGGGCAGCAGGCATAGCCTATATAAGCCCTCTCCACAGGTACAAGGTTCATTTAAATTATACATAATACTACATGAAATAGTTACAGGTTCATATAACAAAATTGATTGGAAATTAAGCAGAAAAAAAGTGGGGGTAGAAAGTTGTAAATAATTACCGGTTTTATGAGAAAAAATGAGGTAAAAAATATCTAGTGAGAAATACAGCAAATTAAGATAAATTGTATGAAATACAATGAATATGTATTTGAATAATAAAATTTCATAATTCATATCATCAATGAAACCTCTGATATAGGTCTGTAGTTATTGACATCATCTGCATTTCCTTTATTTTTATAAACAGGTGTGACCTTGGCAATTTTTCAAATGTTAGGAAGTGTTACATTGCTAAGTGATATATTAAATAATTTCGTCAGAGGCTTATGGATTGTTTGTGAAATATGTTTTAAAATTTTAGGTGAAACACCATCAGGACCTGATGGCTTACATATATTAATGATTTGTAACTGATCTAATACTTCGTTTTCTGTTATTGTAAATATTTCCATTTGATGTAAAGGTGGACCTGGACCCTGGGGTGGTACATGTAAATCAGGTTGATTATGGATGCAGGAAATATCTGTAAAGAAATTTGTTTAAGGCATTAGCCTTGTCAATAGGATGAAATAATGTTTGACCATCCACCTTAAGAGGAGGTGTTGGCTTGTGTTTATTATTTAGTTTGGATAATGATTTCACGATTCTCCACCATTTACCAGGTGGTATTGTTTCATTAATCTGTGCTATACTTAAAGGTTTACTAGGAAGGCTACTAAAACTAGGGCCAGGATTGGTCTCTATACAACCTAATATTAATAATATATATATAATAATACGATGAGACTATAAATTTATACACATAAAGCATTTTAGCTGACAATTTATCCATGACATCCTAAGAATACTTAAATTCACCTTAATAATTTGTGTCAAAAATCATAATATTAGATTTGGATAAAATGGATGGCATGGATTCGTACATCGGATATGCTGTATATAAAAGTAAAAATGAAACCGGTTTGATTGGAATGAGACAAAACTGAAAGAAAATGAAAACACACTAAACAATATACATTATATACAAAAAACACAAATCTGACGAGTACACACAAATATACCAGTAAGTTAGATATGAACAAGTGACAACGCATTTACAAAGGTACCTTAATTAACCCATATTCAGTTATAAAGTATCTCCGGATCTAACATGTAGTTGATTTAGAACAATCTTGTTATCAACATTACATCTTTACAAAGTATATCTTTATTTCTTTAAAATTAAAAAAAAAATTAAAAATCTGATAAGTAGAATTGCAAGAAAGTTCCTTATGATTAGTGAATTGTGATAAGCCTGAAAATTATATACGATTTTAAAACATTTTAGGGTCTGACGATAGGTTCCTCGAAAAAGTATTGCCAATTCTACTATGTGTTGACATATTTTGGTTGCTTCGTCATTTATTTATTAATAAATGACCATTCAAATTCCAACCTTGCGTTTTTATTTGTGTCAAACAAAGCACCGCCATATCAGGTATCCATAAATCTTATTTTGTATTACCTTGTAACATACCAAATATATATATATAATCATTATTATCTTGTGATTATTTAAACTGTTTTCAAAATGTCTTAAAAAGTATAAACGCCAACAAATTGTGATGTCATCAATTCAAGTGATATCAAATAGGATAATAAAGGAAATACTTTTCTCAGTTATCTTCCCTACAAATACCTGGTAATTAAAGTACCTCAATTTTTTTTTATGAGGAAACTTGTTGAAACAGCAATACTTCTATCACAATTCTTTGGGACAATCATACATTATTGCGGAACGTTTCGGCTAACCTTAAACCAAATATGAAATACATGTGACTTTATAATGAAATACCCATGCCTGTTAAATATTATTTATTGAACAAAAATTGACATTAACGGTGATTGTACTTTCAACATTTAAAAAAGATAATTAAGGGACGGTAATTTATTTCAAATTCAGACTTGATAGTGTGCATCAAGTACAATTTGGAAATTCCTCAAATAATAACAAAAAATATAATCTCAGAATAAATCATACTTGATATTCCGTATTTGAACAGTGCTAAAATTAAACCTCATAAAGTTGATGCTCTAGATTTTGCCATGTTGTCAGGTGAACCTAATGAACGATGATTGAAGACTCTGTCATCCTGTATACAAAGAAGAGTTTGGTAGAGAAACTATACCCGATCTTTCGTGACAATGATATTTTCGATGCTATCAGACGTCATCGGTCTTTTTGACAACGCCATTGTTCGTTGTTACGTCACAAATAAAGTTCGATTATCGCTCTTGATAACGAAGAACGTCGATCCCGAAATTTGACACGGGTTTTGTTCCTTTTTAACATTTTTCAATTTATGCTAATTCCAGGAGTTACTTTGTTGTTCTTTTATCTTTTTGAAAGTCGATCCCATGCCTTTCTATGGTAGATTTTTGATCGAGATTGATACTTTGTCCTTGAAAGGTAACAATTGTAACGTTGATCCGGTACGTTGGGGGGAAATCGACATTAACCGTAGCAAATTGACACGTCGCGGATTTTGAACCTTATTTTTGATATCATTATATTTCAGAGATAATAATTTAAACATCATTTCTGCATCGTTCACTTTCATAAATAAGATAGTCGTTTTGCCTAACTGCATCATGTTGACGTTAACATAAAAACGACAACGGTTTAATTCTTTAGAATGAGGTTCAAAAGTTTAAGATGGGATGAAAAACTAAAAGACAACTCTCATTATGAAGTAAGCTGCTTAGACTTTTAAGCCTTTCGGGTATACAAAGATGACATCTAGATTGTCTATATCTAAATGCTGTTGGCTTTCCTGTTCTTCTGTTCCTTCAATTTAATGAAGCTTAAATTGCACAGCACCGTCTCCGTGTTATTTTGCTGGACTCCTCCATGGTCTAAACAAAATAAGAGATAATCTTGGCTATAAGCAAAAAGTAAACATGTGATCTACCCTCACATCGAAATCTCCAATCGACCATGAACAAATAAACAAACTTTAAGGAAGATTATTATTACAAATTTCACACTACTCAAGCGTGTTAATATCGAGATATGAAGAATTATATGTTACATTTCACACTTACATGTAATTTTGGAATAGCCAAGTTTTGTACATTCATTTAGATTTAATAAATTATGAATTCTTTCGATCATTTTCAAAACATTATAATGTAAACAAACTTTGTCCACTTGTTAACTCAATTATATACATATTAAGCTTAATTACAGCATAAATTTAATTACTAAATCTGTATTTTCAAAAGTTTGATAAATATATTTATGATAATCAAGAGGTAAAATGCATTCCTATCTTATTTGAAAAGAAACGTTTTACTTCTATATCTAAGTATATAATTCTATCAAAAATAAGTTTGAAAATGTATAATTTTGAAACATATGTTAAAATGCTCAAATAGATTCCTGAAGGAAACTTTCATAAGCTCACAGACATTTAATGATAAAACATAAATTGAAAAACATATGTTAAACATATCTATAATTTTACCTTTTATATATAGATATTAAAACAAATAAATATATGTTAACTATGTTTAAATTTATGAAGAAAATGTGAACAAAAATAAATTTCTCTTCTTTTTTTCAATTTTGTTAATGCTGTTTGTACTTAAGTACATATGATAGAAACCAAAAAAAAAAATTGAATGCATGGGTTGGTAAATATTTTTGAACTCCTTTGGTTGTAAACTACGAAGAAAATGTTCACTTTCTATGATGTTCAAAATTCTACCATTTTGCAATCAACCTTACAGGTATGTCTATGCAATTTTGTATCGATTGAAAAATCAAAATATATGCAGTGAAACTCATTCATTTTACTGATACTAACATAATTTAGGTTGTTATTTTCATGATGTTTGAAAAAAAAAGTTTGTATCATCTGTCCTTAAGAGGCATTAAAAAGTGTCAGATTTCTTCAAAGTGTCACTGTATGCCTATGTTTCATGCGAATTGCTTCGTTGCGAAGCAGTTTTTTAATAACTGTTTTGTCAGATATTCAAAAATACATTTGCACTGACTCTACAGGGAGATGCAAAGTAGACATGAAGTGTAAGACCACCTAGATGTGCTAAGAAACCATTTAAATACCCTAGCTTTTTGTGAAATTCATATAACGTATCAATGACATATTAGAAAATTTCCAAGATACAAGATTTCTGCATAAGTTCTTTGAAACAGATCAAGTGATTCTCAGTTGATTTATATCTTAAACCCTTTAATGCGCACTTGATCCTAATGTTATCACCGCCCTATCTTTTACAACGTTTTATGTGAATTAATACTTTGATTTGAAAGTTTAAACTTCAAGTCTTGTTATATACTGCTACTCTCCCGCATGGAAAGGATCCAGTTCCAACGCTACCCCCCATTCTCTTTACTGACCAGTGAAGCTTTTGTCATAATACTTGCAATCAATACATTCTTGAGAGCGCATTGCAATTTTATTTAAATTAATCGGGTTTAAAATGATCACGATATGAAAGACTCTCTCTTGTCATTGGACAGCAGCGTGTATTCAATTTGATATCAGCACTGTCAAATTGTGTTATTCAATGAATTGAGTTATCATTGTTGCTCTTTATGCATACCCAGGCGTCCCATCAGCACCTGTTGTCGCCTGATATTTACCATCTTGTTAAAAATGAATAAATGTCAAGCCACTCCTAGTAAGTGTAATATTTTATACTTTGCTTTTTATCGAAATATAAATTTTACTTAATGAAAAGTGTGCAATGCTTTGATATCAATTTCATGCTGTATTCAAATTTATTTATTTTATACTTTTTATTTGTTTATTAAATTTTATTCATTTATTTTATCTTGTGCATCATTTGTTTGACATTGTTTACATTTTCTAAAACAAATTTAATTCATAAGAACAAAATATTTTGTCTATCTTGATCTTTACAGGAATATTTACGAATATCGTATATGTTATTTAATTGCTTAATTATTTAACATTGTACTTTGTTTTTAATTACATTTCATTTCTACTAAATGGGCATGGTCAAGAACTTGCTTTAATCGTTTTATGACAGGTCACTTCTTTAACATCTTCCTGTTTCAAATGTGTGAATCAAAGTCCTTGCACTAAATTAATATCGATGTCTTTAAAACCCCCAAAACGGTTGTAAATATTTAAAAGCTACAATTGTTTTATAAGTTGAAACAATTGATATGCATCACGTCTAAAGACTGCATAGAGAGGACAGTTTATTGCTTTTCTTTCAACTTGGCAAAAATACTTAATAGAATTTATACATTACTTGTATTAAGGAATTTATTTACTTATTGTATATCCTAAGAAAATGATGTTTAGATAAGTTATTTGTACATGTAGTTATGTGAGTTCTATATTTATTTACCAAAGAAACTAACTTTTTTGGGATGAGGTATTAGTGTACCTTTTTGAATTTCAGTGAATGCATATTTAAATGTACATGAATATCATGATTTAATTTTTTATGTGCCATTATATGCCAAATGCTTACATTACTTTTTTTGTTTTTAGTCACCTTTCTATTAGAATACAGAAAATGTAGAAGAACAAATGCTAATTCCAGTTGATATAACACAGAGAAAGGCTTAAGACAATTAATACTCGTATTTTTTTTTTAAATATTACAATCACATTAAGTATACCCTGTTTATATTAAGTATATGAAGTCATTCTCATGGATAATTGATTACCTATATCAATGATTTTTTTTCAGTAATTATTGCTCGGTAATCAAAATAGTTGACGTAGAAATTTTTAATTTTCTTTTTCCTTTACTATATTAAAGAATTTACAACACTTCACATTCATTTGAATATTGAAAACAGACTGAATTTTTTTTTAAAAAAAAAATTATATACTTGCAGATAGATACATTTATATATGTACGTAACATATCTTAGGTTTCATGCAAGTGCATATATACATTTTAACTAATTAACCTTTAAATCAAGCATCATGACAATGAATTCTTGTGGGAAGTTCTTCGGAAAACCATTGCCAATATATAGTTTACATTGTGTAAGTCTAGTTTGAATGGATTAGCTCCATTTACATATTTTTAAACGCCTTTTATTCATTTTTACTATCACATTTTTAAGAAAAAGGATAATCAGGAATTTTGGACGCAAAGGGTTTAATTATGAATTGACATTTTAATCAGAAGGCGATAACTGATTCATATCAATAAATTGTTTACTAAAATCAAGGCACGCAGAGAAAAAATATATAACTTTCTCAGTCCTTTTTTGTTACTGTTTTCATGGAAACGTTCTGATAAATATTATTCAGGGTTCATGAGACATTTAGAAAAGTTTCTCTAGACTCTCTTAAGTCGTGAAAAATACTTTTAAATATATAAAATTACTTAGTAACAATAGTTATGTAGTTACATTGCTTAGAAAATCAACCTTAATTTTTTATACGCGTAAGGAAACATAGTAAAAAGATTTTCCAACATATAAAAAAAAATATACAATTTTTTGGTAATTTTTTTTTAAATTTAATATGAGTAGACTTTTTTTAATTACCAAAGTTTATTTTTTCTCGTTTTAATAATGCATAATGATTCTTCGATTTGTTTGTTTTCTTAATGATATTATTATGTCTGACGAAACTTGTGAAGGGTACTTAATCAGTTTTTTTCACAACTCAGAGAGAGTGAAGATACGTGTACTATAAATTTTTACATCATGATAAGATAAGGAATGAATGAATTTACATTAGAAGTAATTTTTTTACGTTCCTTTGACAAATATATATTAGTATTTTAATAAAGTAGTTTACACTTTTTCATTCATATGGTTCTGAACAGCTGCTCTCCAGAGATAGATAAGCAGTAAAAACATTTGATAGAAATAAATATAGTCGAATTAGCACACTGATTTTTCCTTAAAGAAGGTATAGCACTGATAAATTGTCAAGCAAATATTGCTTTTATTTTCAATTTGGCTTTTTAATGTCACGTTGCCTTATCTATTCCTGTCGATTTCATTGTTTGCATCGTTTGATGACGATTGAAAACGGAAATAAATTGATAGGTATTAAGAATAGTAATATAAGACGGTGTTTATTTCGATTAATAAGGTGCGTTAAAGTGTTGGCAACTTCATTTAAAATATGTCCATGTTCTTTTGACAAGAGAACCGCTGTGTAAATTACGAAAGTCAAGAACGTGTTTAACTGGACGTGGAAGTTTACTTCTGTTTAATAAAATTCGAACGGAAGGCGGAAAAGTAATTTTAAATGTTGATAAGATTAAAATGTAAACTTCTGTCATGCATTTTGGAAGACACAAAACACACAAGCAGGTAATATATATTGCAACTGTTGTCAGAAAAAGCGCTCTGAAATCGAATTTTATTGAGAAATCGTCTCGTCGTAAAGTTTAATTTAAAAGAGCACTTTGATTACATTGGATTCGTAACCTAGGTTAAATAAAGATAAATGTCATTTGTGCTACTTCACCTGAATTGTGGCTTTCCATATTGAAATACTACATCGACAATACTCTTACAAATTGCATAATCCTATATGTTAAATGGAAAACGTCTATTTTATTAAGTCCTAAAACAGATACCTGGAATTGTGCTGCATTTCGACGTTGGTACATCTGATCAAATATTTATTTCGACCCCCGGGGAACACATTTATATTTAAGAGCCATGTTTTATGAATACTGCAAATGAAAGAAGAAACGATAGTCTAAAAGGTTATCTTATTTATATGCCTCGCTAAAGTCGTAGAAACCATTTGAAAATAATTACACAAAATATGCAGGATAAAATTATCAAATAAATTTCCTTGAAGAAATATCACTGGTGTCGCTGGGATAACGTTTTACATTATCAGTGTTGACTTTTCCTCATGTTATACTGATAAGCACATCACAAGATGAGATAGTCTTCATAAAGTTAATCATAGATTTGTCATTTTTTTTCAATTTTTTAACTTACAAAGCATTTTTGTTAAAAGTCATATTTTATACAAATACGTTCTTGTATTTATTTATTTTCCTTATATATAATTATTAAACATATTTTAAATTTTGGAATGATGGAAGCAACATTTGGATATTCAGGTGAAGTTGTATAATAGTGAGCAGTTCTTTGGATATATTTGAATAATTAAAATACATGAATTATATATCTTTACCAATGTTGAACAAAAGTCTACCCAGGTTCTGAACAATGAGCTTTTCAGTATTTTAAAAGTAATTCACTTTACATTAGAAATTTACTATTCGTAAAATTGCTTCCAGTGGATAAAACAAATATTTAATGAATGCACTTTGATATAGGGCAATATTGTTTTTGTGCTAAAAGTTACCATTTCTTTTGACATGAGAAACTTTCTGACAATGAACATTCTAGTAATTTGACCCCATATCAGGCCATTCAAAGATCGACTTCTATTTTTGGTATTAGACATTATATAGTCATATTTGCATAATGGATTGCCTTTCTGCTGAGGATTTGGCATAAATATTCGTCGTTTAAATGATGAAAATTCGTATCCGTTGCGTTATATCAACAACTTAAGCCCAAAGGCTTTGGCTTTCAAGGGAGGTTTTAAAGTCTTGAAACTCGATCTAAAGGTATATTCAATTATGTATTGTGGCCAGACATAATTACAGCATGAAATCATATTTTCGTTGACAAAAGGTAATATGTCAACACTAAGTTTAACGTTTGAACTGGGTTTACAAAAATAAGGTGAAAATGCGAAATAAAAACACTGTCTACCTCAACAGAAAGCGGTTTAGAGTAATGAATAAATGACCTTTTGACTGTTTGAATTTTCATTTACTTGGCCTTTATATAAGGAATATTACTTTATAATTCTAAATGGTGTTATATCCTTTTTCACTCTCTTACACATTTTAAAATGACTAATCTTTCGTAAAATCATTCTTAATATAACCTGAGAAAAACAAATATGTCACCAATTCAAGAAAATAACATGCCTTTAGTCTGAAATGCATACAACTTAAACTTGCAGTTTAAACATGTAAGTCAAACAGAAAAGGAACATAATATGAAAATAAAATGCACAGCAAAGTTATCATAAAAGATTATATTTCGGGATTGCAAATGCTACCTTTAAAAAATTATCCTTTTCAAATGTATTGAAACCAAACAAGTTTACCATTTTGAAATCTTTTATTTTTTCTGCAGAGGAAGCATTATTTCCTTAAATTTGAGCATATTGAAATTAATCATTTGCGAAGATTTTTCGGTACTAAAGCAAGAATAATTAGACATATAAATATATGAATTTTAAATTAATTCATGTAAAATTCACACTTTTCTGTTAGAATACAGCATCCCCACACCCCTCCAATATAATTCATTGAAAGGAGATGAATCAGTTATTGAGTGGATCCAATTTGCAATTGGATTGTGGCGTTCATTTTGTTTTATCCCACCCTTTTTTGATAGCACGCATATCAGTGCCTGCTTTATGGTATGTTTATTTTAAAGGGGGTCAGTTTGCATAATATGATGCCAAAGATTTTTGTGTTCTTAGAAGTTTTTCTAGTCTCTTCTGACCCCCTTACTATGTGTATTTTTGTTTTGCGTCATTTACTTAAATAAATGACATTTTTTTACTTTCAATACTGTTGTTATTTTCTTCTATCCATCAAAAAACTAGCTCAGTTGACTTGGCTTCAGACTTGCAACAATAACAAAGGAACATAAAGATAAATTTTCTTTCTTTAAGAGATCAAATAATGGGGGAAAATGTACTTTTTGCCCTTTCTTACTTGTAATTAGGTCGTAGCTTTTCCCTTCTTTTCTTTTTACTCTAAAGTAACAGAAATTGTCTTCTTCATTTTCTTTTCCTTGTCGGGAAAAAGTTACCTCTTCCATCTTTGTTCTTGCAAGTGGATAGTTGAGAATCCTTCCTTGGCTCCATTTTCAATCGTCACAACATACACTGTTAAGCAATAAATGCCCTTCACATGTATCATGTTCTTTACTGTTCGCCTTTCATTCTAGGCCGTATCCTGACTGATGTTCCATGTAGGGTGTGTCAGGACCATTCCTCTGGCAAACATTACGGGATCTACGCCTGTGATGGGTATATAATTTCCAAAAAATCAGACTTTTATATATGAATCAAGTTATCTTGAAGGCACGATATGAAAACATTAATTTTTATTTTCTTGTTCATGAAGTTCTTTATCTTATTATTTTACATTTCATAAAAAAGGTATCAAAAAATTAAATATTATTTTCAGATGAATTTGATAAACAAAAAGAAAACTATTTTATTAGATCGCAACAAGTATAAGAAATAATATCAGCAGTTGTTTTAAAAGAGTATTCTATACTTCATATTCTATGTTCTATACTTCACAAAACTTGCAACATACCGGTAGATATAACCAAAGATTATTATTTTATTTCAGATGCGCTGGATTTTTCAAAGTAAGTCTTAAATAACGTCACAGAACTTGATGTTTTTTCCTCTTTTAATGCTTAGGTGTCGCATTTTATACCACATGATCATCAATTTAAATTATTTTTTAAAATAAATATTCCCTTATCAATTTGCTGTCTTCGGTAAATGCAATGATTTCTCCAAGATTAACTATATGATGATGAAATATTTTTCCCCATAAAAGGGGGAGTTTCGATAAGGCCGCTTATCGGCCCACGTATTTTCATAAAAATAAATTTCGTTTTATTTTTTGAAAATTTGTTTAGAATTCAAGACATATATGTTAATTTTTGTTATTTATATTTTAAGAGTTTATATGAGATGAATTCACGCCGTAGTTGGCACATTCTTAGATGTACCCTCAAATGCTTTAACATTAGGCTAATGGGAAAATATAAGAGGGTGGCATATATTAATCGATGGTTAGAATATGAAGTGCATGAGGGACACTCACCTCGTTTTGTTCAGTAATTAGATATACTATGCACACTAATATCTTAAAATATGATGAGTGTCGCGTGTGCACTTCATATCCAAAAATTGAAAATTGTCTAAAATTCGCATATCTAAAATTAGAAGCTCCTGGTTACTTGATCTTACGCCGTGTTAAAATACAAAGCCAAAAGTAGCATATTTTTTTCTAAACCAAAGAGAACTCTCGAAAATATTAACATTAGAAAACATAATCGTATCCTATAGTTATTTCTAAACTTATTTCGTCGCCCGCGTATAACGTTAACGTCACATATTTAGCTCACCTACACGAAGTTGGGGAGCTTTTGTAATACCATCGTTATAGGCGTTCCAGGTTATTAAAAGTTTTTAATCAATTTTTTCATATCATCAGAGTCGCCTGATCTAGTGTGTTTTCTTGTCATCTGTCGGGTTTCAGATGCTGCATTTTCAGTTAAAGAAAGTCCAGGTTATTGTTTTAAAGCATTATGGAGCAGTGCAGCTATAAGCACTTGTTGAGAAGACGTGCTTCATGATGCATCTTCGGATGCACACTGTCAGACTTGCTTCAGATGCTAGATCTGACTTACATTTTCTTGATGAATGCTCAGGGTATATATTTTGGAGCATGTCTTATTATCCCTATCTTGAAGAAATATGCACCGATGATGCATTTAGGGTTTCACATTACCAGAACTGTTACAGATGCCGAATCTTAGATTTTCCGAATGACTGACTGAGAATTAGTCCATTCATGAACTTTCTTTATCAAGGATATGGTTATAGCCATTCCTTTGAATAGAAACTCTCCTCGCTTCAATCTGTTAGAGAAGGTTCACATATATTTCCGTGTGGTCTACAGGTAGGGAACGTAGATTACTTTAAGACTGGATGTTGATTTTTACGTTTCTGCAGGATATGATTTAACACATACATTTGGTATTTACAAATGTATTTTAAATTGCGGCTATGGTCTAGCAAATCAAATAGTGACTTAAGTTGGTGAAACAACATAAGCATCAAAAGGAAGTTGGGAAGCGCGAGGACTTACATGTAGGTCCTCGCTTGCCTTAATTGTCTCATTTTTGCTGAAAACATAATGCACCTCTTTAAGTGCGTAAATACTTTTAAGTTTAAGAATGAATAGAAGACATGCACTCAATGTATTTTAGTTTTTTTTATCATTTGGCTATTTATTCATGCATTCTGTAAGCACTGCATTAGCAATAATAGTCCACTATCGGCACACCAAGTATAACCTGGTTTACATTAAAAATTGAAAATGCCCTTTTTTGAAAAATCATTGAAGCGGAAGAAAATACCAACTTGATCTATAACTCATGTACCAAAACAAAAATCAGCTCAATATATGCGATTTTTATTTTTAGAAAAAACAAAACAAAACAAAAAACACCGAACCCCCCTTTTTTTAATTTGTAAAGTGCGAAAAACTAAGTGGAACAGACTGACAGATAGACAGAGGGACGGACGGACAACAGACAGACGATGAGGAAACCTATAGACCCCTCCGGCTTCATCGGTATGGGACTAATAATTACTATCTTGATAAAATATTTTGACTGGTAGTAATACGCTTGGTATTATTAAATACAATGTACATTGCAGAATGATTCTTTTAAATATACTTTAAAAATATAAATAGCTCCATTTTTTAATCGTACCAAATTCCAAAATCTGTTAATTTAAAAAAAAAAATTAAAATTCAATTTAATGATATTACGGTACATTTTATTAATACTATAATTAGCACAATAACTTTAGTTGACAAAAATGTGTTGCAAACAGTGTCAAACACATATCTTTACATTTGCTTTTCTACATACGGGAAAATGTTATATATTGATTATTAAGTTTAAGTATAAACTGTCGATTAATTCATTTTTTGAAAATTCCTGTCTTTATTATTCATATAGGTTTTATATGTTACATTCATCCTCTTTGGAAGAAGAGTTACAATTAAAACACGAGAAAAATCTTGCACCTTAAAACGCATTGAAATAAAATAAATATCATTAATTTTTTGTAAAGAAAAATATTGAAATTGGTTATTTGATGCCTTTATTCACATTTGTATTATTTCATTTATGATTTTGACATTAAATAAACTCCATTACCCCCTTTAAATATGACGCCTCCAAAAATCTAGGGAAGAGGGTATACTTAAATTTTTAATTATCACGTGACCAGAAAATGTGCAGTATAAATTTTTTTCATATTTTTAGGAAGATAACACTTTTATCTACAACATATCACAATTTCATTATATTTCTTGAGGGGCCGAAAAACAGCCTTATCGAAACTCCCCCTTTGCAAAACGTTTGGAAAACGTGTCTTTATATAAAACCTTTATAACTAAATCTATTCTGCAGCACAAATTAAACAATTCTTTTAAAAAATCTGTTACAAAAATAGACAAAACGTATGAAAACCTATTTTAAAGATCTATTAGAAAAAATAGACAATACATATGTAAGTCTATTTTATATAGATCTATTAGAAGAAATAGTCAATAAATAATCCTGTGTAAATCTCTTTAAAAGAGATGTATCAGAAGAAATAGACAATACGTGTGATTGTAAATCTATTTAAAAGAAGTATATAGGAAGAAATAGACAATATGTGACACGTGTGAATCTATTTCATATAGATCTATGTGTTTAGGCTTATTTTTAAAGGATCTTAGTAGAAATAGAAATAACGTGTGACTATAAATCTATTTGAAAGAGATTATTAGAACAAATAGAAAATACGTGTATAAATCCATTTTAAAGAGATCTCTTAGACAAAAATAGTCAACACGTGTGTAAACCTATTTTTAAGAGATGTATTAGAAGAAAAAGAAAATGCATGTGTACGTCCATTTGAAAGAGATCTCTTAGAAGTAATAAGAAGTAATAAAATATACGTGTGTATGTTTTTCCTTGATAGATCTTTCAAAAGAAATAGATGATACGTATTAAGATCTATTTGATAGAGATCAATAGAAGAAACAGACAAAAAATATGTTAATCTATTTCACAGAGATCTATTAGAAGAAATAGACAATACGTGTGTAAGTCCAGGAACCAGAATAAATGTCCTGTGGACAAGACACACAGAAATCAATGTAGAGCATGCCGACTTAACAAATGTGTGAAAGCTGGAATGAACAGAGACGGTAACTATACCCCAAAAAATAGTCAAAATGTTTCATTAAATGCTACAGAAAAAATTCGAATGGAATGGTAAAACATTCAAAGTAAAGAGGCAACAACTATATGGATAAAAAACATTGTACGTTGTTTCTACATGCATATATATTCTAAGGTAAAGTGATTTAATTTTTTTAAATTTATAAATAAAACATTTGAAAATAAAACATTATTATTCTTTACAGCTGTTCAACATGAACGGGGTCCCAGGACGTCAACATTACGGAGACAAGTCGCCATGTATCTTCGAGAATCTACGGACTATAACACTTTGTTATCTGGCGCCGTTCTGCCTTCACCGTACTTTGCTACTTCCTTTTACAGTGTAAATCCACCAGGGATGTGCGAGTCAGTTATGCTTTCTAGTTCTGCGTCTTCTTCTTCAACGTCAGCACCAACATCATCTGTTATTGTACACCCCACACCTCGAGTAAAGATTTTAATATTTCCCTTTAATAATAATTTGTATGAATATAAAGGTTGAAATATGACTTTTATGCATTTTTAAGACAACGCAATTTTTACAAAATTTGAAGTAAATTGCAATGTATTCAATGTTATAACACAACCTAGAAAAGAGTATATTTACTTTTAGTATCCAGCTGAACTGAGTGGATTCACTTTTCCGAGTAATTCAGCTGACTCTGTTTGTGAAACAGCAGCCAGAATCTTATTCATGACCATCAAATGGACCAAAAGTATCCCTGCTTTTGTGGGACTGCCTCATCGAGACCAGTTGGTTCTCCTAGAGGAGAGTTGGAGAGATTTGTTTATACTCAGTCTCGCCCAATTCCGGTTGCCCATCCAACCACACATTCTTATCACGGCATCTGGTACAGACTCGTTTTATTCGTATATTCTCTGCGTGTGATTGATTTGTAATACATGTATGTGTACATGCACTGTATGTAGTTAATATTAGTTTACCATTGCCGTTTTCGGATGAGACACGTAGTGAAGGCATTTTTTGCATAAAAATGAGCTTCAATATCCGACGAAACCGTTCTTTCAAATCAAAAACTGAAGAAATTATCAAGGAATAAGCGAAAATGATTTTTTATCATCTTTATGTAGTTAAATATTATTTAGGTTATGTAATTAAATTTTAAGAGAAGAAGGTTTAAATGACAAGAAAGAAATACAATATTTACATTCCATAATTATTTTCCTAAAAGTATTTAACAAGATAATTGCATTCCATGTGTCTGTGCAACGCATCATGACGTCACATTGGGATAGACTAAGACAATGAATTAAAAATTGATTTTAAAAAACTAATTTGGAATGCAAATATACGGTTTAATTTACATGTAAGCAAACAATATACACATAACCTTTTTTAATATATCTACTATTGCACCGTTATAACACAAAATTTGTGCTTACTAATTTGGATCCGCATCCTGTGTGAATGGCCTGTAAACATACTGTGTGAATGGAATGTAAACCAGCGTACGGAGCAATGCAGATTTGATTCAATTTTTCAATATACACCTTAGCTGCCCAACAATCGGATTTAACTATAATTCTGATTTTCACCACATTTCAGCTATAGTAAAAATGAGTCCAACGTCTTTGAAATAATGGTTGTTCTATTACAGGCTTGACATCAGACAGTAAAATGACATCAGAGAGAATGTCAACCTGTATGTTAGAAATACGGGCTCTACAAGACGTCATAGATAAATTCAAAGCTATGAACGTTGATCCAACAGAGTACACGTGTCTCAAGGCAATAGTCATCTTCAAGACAGGTACAACAAAGCACAAAATCTATTTGCAATTCATTTAGCTTAATGTGAAATGATTTTCTTTGCTTGATTTTCACTTTGAAGCTTCAACCCATGATACAAAGTTTCCAAAAATTGCCCTGTTTGGACGCTTGATTGATTAAATACAATTTGAGCCAGGTTGATTATATTTGGGATAAAGTGGAGGAAATTCATGTGCACAAGATATTGAATTAATTTTTTTTTATAATTCCAAGATTTATGGCTCTTGAATTCATAAGGTCTATCATTATAATCATCATTTTGATAGGGGTTTGGGATTTTTTTTATCACAGGGGATAAAACCATGATATTTATAGTCAAACATGGAGATAACGAACAGTAATCAAACTCAAAAGTCCATAGAAGAATTACAAATCGGCAGCAGAGCAAACACAGACCTCTAAATACATCATAGGTGGGATCAGGGGCCATGGAGGAGTAAGCATCCCCTGCCGACGGGTCACACCCGCCATGTGCTCCTTATCATGATCGGGAAAACGGAAAAATCCGGAAATAACTCAATGTATAAATAATGGCCTAATTAGTATGAATTAGATGAGCTCTACTATTTTCAAAATTCTTTTACAGCATTACGAAGTCCTGCTAATGAAATGAAAGCCCTACGAGACAGCCATGCTGTGGCTCTGTTACAAGATCAAGCACAGGTTACACTTAGCAAGTACATAGAAACAACATACCCATCTCAACCGTTCCGCTTCGGTAAACTTCTGCTATTGCTTCCACTGTTACAGACCGTGTCATCGAAAGTCATCGAGGATATGTTCTTCAAAAAGACTATTGGACACGTGCCCATAGATAGACTGATAGTGGATATGTTCAAATCAGGAGACTTTTAAGAACTATGGATCGGGATCGGGATCAGCGTAAAAAGAATACTACATTATTTACACCAACCAAATGAAGAAGTGAATAGATATCTGTTTTATTTTGCATATTGAAGAATGATTGAGGAGAATAAAAATGAAACGGGCTCATAAGAAAAGAAAAATTATCTGATGGTTAGAAGAGATTCATCTCAGAATCAAATAGACGATTTGATCTTATGTCATGGCATATGTTTGGGGTTTTGCTCATATTTAAAAGATATTGAAGTTTTTGCTATAATCTCTGATTTAGGATCCAGTGTTGTGGGTAACTATTTATTTGCATTTATATTGTACATTATTGTATGTATATGGTGAATTTAAGCCAGGAGATGTTTGTGTACTGTGTAATCGGGCTTTTTAAAATATGTTATATATGTTTTTATGAAATATATAATTATATAATAGTTGAACAATATTACTTTTTCTGTTTTTAATGCATTGTTTTACATTTTCCTTGCGCGTGTTGACTTCACAATAAAAAGTTGGATAATATTGTTTGTTGTAATGCATATTTTTTCAATTAAATTTACTTTATGCTTTTGCTTGTTGAACATGTTACATGTAATTTTCATTGGAATTATGGGACTCTGTTAGATAAGGTTTATAATGATCTCTGAGAACTTCCACGAAAACACTTTTATAATGACCTTTAGAAATTTTATTTGCCTTTGCCCTGGTTCTACTGTTTCATCATTTTAAAACAAATGTAACGTGTCCTTTTATCCACATATCAAATCTTAGACATATAGTATCGACGTCGATTGAACAAATATACCTACCACATAATTAACGACGATGATTTTAATTATTTTGTTAAATAAATATTGTTGTCTTAGACTCCCCCTTCTTTGCTTTTAAACACAATAAATTATTTCAACATCCATTCTACTAACATAAAATCAAAATTTTTATTTATATTTATAAAATGTTAAGGAAAGAACAGTTAAAATCATGATTTTTTAAATCATAGTACAAAATCTTCGTTTATTGCAAAACAATGACAAATCATGAATATTTAAAGAACTTAAACAATTTTTTATTGAAAAATCGGATAGTAAATTCATAATTATACTTATATTTTGAAATATTGAATGCCTAACGGATATATTTAAGAAAGGAACCCATGAGTAAAGGTTTGATCACATATTGCAAACATCTCTGTTCTTTTTTCAGTGCTTGTTCAAATGACATTGTTTTATTTCACATCCTGGGCATTATATACATTGTTTACCCGCCATTGACTGTCCGAATTTCCTCTAGACCGAAGTCGTTGATAGCTTCAGCAATCGATAGCTCTTCTTTGTCAAAAGATTGATGTTTTTATAAAAGTAAACACCAGGATAATGATTATTGCACAACGGCGAGAAATCTCATAAATCTTCATATGAAGCGAAAAGTGAAAGTTAAGTGCATGCACCAAAGTCAACTTTGGAAAAGTGAAAGCTTTGTAAGTTATATGCACTTTCAAGCACTTATTTTCAAGGGCACAATCAACCTGATATTTTTAAAACCATGTGTACTCTATGCGGAATACCTTTTATAATTTTTTATGAAACTTGAAATATTTACTTTGAATGTAATATTTATCTACACATCATCCGCAGATTCCACATATTGTATATAAACATCAGATTCTTTAAAACTCCATTCAAACCACATATGCATCAACGCTGTCAATTATTTTTAAGACATATTTACTAAAGTGCAAATTGCCCAAAGAGTATCAATTGTATCATTCTTATATCATGCTCAATGTCAAAACACGCATTCTGCTTTATCTGGAGTTTGCAAATTCGATTCATAGCGTTGAACATTTACACTATTTTGTAAAACAAGACAATTAAGAAGTATTTTGGCATTACTTGTACTCTGTAAAAAGACTATATCAGTTAAAATCCCATGTGTTTCTTCCAACACGTGTGAAACTTAAGCAATAGCTGAAGGGCAGAGTCAAGATATGGGGACATTAATGATGCTTTGAATTGAAATTAAGGTTATAGAATCAAGGCTTAGATGAGAGTATCAATGTCTTCTGTTGTTTTCATTTCTCGTTAGATGCTAGAGCACCTGTTGGTCTTAACATACCTGTGGCAGAGGAGAGGAAAATCGGAGGGAGGTCTGAAATATAGATTTAATTTTCTGCTAATCTGAGTGTAAGAAAGACGTGGTCAATTCGACATTTAATTGAGCCGCACACCTATGTCAACATGGGTAGAAGAAATCATTAACTTCTGTAATGGGTTACTTCACTGTGATGTCCCAACCAATGAACAAACTCGAACATCAACATTACCCTTTTTTCTGGACACCTGCGATGGGCTGTGGGCAAAGAAGATTACAAAACGATGCCTTTGATAATAGCATTCCTTGTGGTTGATTGTTGTCAGCTATTCAAATGCGAAAATGATAATATTTTATCTCTCAGTTCATGAGAATTTCATTTATCTTTTCCTTTGATTGCAACTGATCATATATTCAAGATTTCATAAGCTAGGAATTATGACACAATCAGGATATTTGACTTTCATATATATGTACTTGTAGATTTCAAAGGTGTTTTTCAAAGACAGATATCGCCTTCCTTTCAATAGTATCCAATACCCAATATAATTCAATTGTTTCTAGGTTATTCATTAATTTTATCATATTTTTTAATGATGGTGTTTTCATTAAACAGTAACCACTTCCATTTTATTCATCTTTACAAAAAAGATGTAGGTGGAACACATGAGCAAAACACAAAGAAATACAGGTATATTTCAACTGAAGGTAAGTTGTGGTCAACTTTTATAAGAATAGAAGTCTTGCGGTTTACCTATGCATGGTTACTGGTTCGGTAATGAGCTTCGCCCAGGTGTCCACTTCAATTAGGAACACTGATTTCATTTCAGGACTTTGAGGATGGGAACTTTTACACATTAGATTGTGTCTAGGTCAAGAGGTACAGTTGGCATCTTCAGAATTTTGATAATTAACATGAAAGGATTTTTAGCCTTACACATTTGAAAATGACATCTTTTGCTACTATGTAGTACGAATAAATGAATAGTTTCCATTTACATGTAATATAAAATATTGGGTGGCTAAATTGAAGGACTTCTACCCAATGAAATGTTTTGGAAGTGAATTTTAAGAAAGTGCTTGTAATATGTTTTCATTAAAGGAAGCATTCATGACCATTTGTATTTTATTAAGTATACTGTCCAGTGAAATTTAAATTTAAGATAATTCCTTTTAATTAAAACGAATTGGGAAAACGACTACTTGAATAGGGTTTGTTCTAAGAGTACATGTACATTATTTACCTTATTTTGTAAATTCCAGGTCATCTCTCTCTTAAGTGTGGGCTTTCACATATTATATATGACATTAGAAGTCACAATGCATAATAGTTCAGGGAATATGTCAAATCATATTTATATTTTAACTTTATATTTTTTTTCAAGTGCTGAATTGAAGAGAATTTGGTTTCAAAGAGTTCCATAATAATCTGGTAACAGGCAAAAATCTTTGAAGTTTTCTATGAAGACATTTATTAAATAACCCTATGTTAACAATCATATCTATTAAAATCTAACTTAAGGATGAGAAAAAGAGCTCTTTTGGTCTGGAAATAAGCTCTTAAAGGAGACTTTATTCCTATCCAAACAATAAGTCATTTCTCTCTGAGGTCCAGATTTCATCCGATACCTGCACCCCATGAGGCTACATTGACAGAAATGGAAAATTGATACTGACAGCAAATCATCGCAGAACAACTAGGAGCAGTGGAATTCATTGTTACCAAAGAAATGTACAAATAAATGAAAGGTTTTGACTTTCAAACAGAAAATCATTTTTCAATTTAATTAATAATTAAAACGAAGTCGTATTTTGATACCACGGGGTTTTTTTTTGGTAATTCCAATACATCGTTTTTATATTTTTTATTCATAATTGACTTTTTGTAAAGATGGTATTGACTCGTACCATGATGTTTTACATGTAAGTTTACACAGTGTCGGAATTCATGCATGAAAATGCCTGTTATCCATTTAACAAATTAAGCAAAGATATAGGAGTAGTCAAAATAAAATACAGTGCACAAATCGAATAATAATTGAAATTTATATGGATGACAAATACAACATATATAGGTAAGATTTAGAACAATCAAAAAACATTTCTGCTGAAATCTCTGGCACATGAAATATGAAGATAACAAACAGTAAATAAGCTTGAGAGTCCATTGAAACAATACAAATTTGGAGCAGAGCAAACAAGGACCTATCAGACATGTTTATTTTGAGACTTTGCAAGTACATGTATATGCAGAAGTGTGTCAAATTTCTATGCATGTATTTTCCGATAGATGATTAACATCACAATGCATTAAAATATGGCATCATATAGCTTTTTTCCAATTTCCAATATTTACCTGTTGCAGCAGTTGTGTATTTCCGTAATTAATTCATATGATAATGTGGTTTGGTCTACAGATTTTATGGCATTATTCATTTATAAATCGGCTTACAAAATTAAGCTGTTGAGTTCGAAATTGTGAAATCTTTTTTGACATCAAAGTGATAGTTATCTTAATAATGACATCTCTCATAAATTTCACACTCTAAAAATTAGTGACGTCACAAATGGTAACAGGACCGCACTCAGCATGTTGTAGACGTTCTGTCTCCCAAAAGTTCGTGAATTTTAACTCGGATTGCAGTTACTGGCGGAATTTCATATTAACAAAATGTCCGTTTTGAACAAATTATAATTTTTTCATTGAATAGTATGTCTAGAAACCTGTTGTGATAATTAGAAGTATTAAGTCTGTATTCGATTGTATCAGGAGTAGATGTCCGCTTCCCTTGCGAGAAAATTTACTGTTAAATGAACATAAATTGTAAAACTTGTTAATCTAGCATGCACACTCAGTGATTTTACTCTAGCGAGTTGAACACCTCTATTGAAATATATTTTAAAATTTTCAGGTTTTATACAGTTTCAAATGT